AGAAGACACTTGCAGGCATCTGTTTTTGGTATTGGTGGCTGCTTGTAATACACTGGCAGTCATTTTGAAATTTGTCTTTCATTTAAACTGATTGTGGATGTTGCTTTTGCAAATTTAGGACAAGAGGATCCTATCTAGTGTGACTTTTATTCCCTGTTGGGTACTGCTCATTGTAAATTGATTAAAGTCTTCAGTAGGTCATAGACCTCTCTTACATCAGTAAGAACTTTAGGTACAGCTGTAAAATTTTGATCTAGATTTAGCTTCAAAATAGTATGTAGTTCCTGTGGATGGTGACTGCTAGTCAAAATCAGGATGCTGAGTAAATTAATTGCTGCACATCCAGCTCTCTGCCATAGTGAGCTACTCACTAAAAGTTTATTTTAAAACTTTAAAACTTCTGCTGTAACTGGCACTGTACCTAGCTGAGAATGATTTGGTAAATTACCGTGTCCAGTAGGAGGAAACATAACTGCCTTGACGAACATTCAGATGTGAATTACGTGTAGCTTATGGCTAGAAAACGGTTGCAATTCTCTAAAACTTGTTAAAGTTTGGGTTTTTTTCTGACTGTATGCAAGTAGTTGTTCAAACACACTGTAAGATAAATTTCCATCATGTTGTTTATGCGGTGTAATTTTACTTTCTTGCACGTATTTAGTTTTCATTAAAAAGGGCAACTCTGGGAGCGTATTCATTAAAGGCAGAAACACTACATTATTGTACTATGATTAAAGATGTATGACAAATCGCTTCATGGTGTTTTGAGTCTTTAATACTATAGTAGAGGAGAGACTGACTTTAAAAAGCAAGCATAGAGCTTTAGTTCTGTGATGCTTCTGGGCTTGACCCTACTCTTTATCAAATACTAGAAGGAGTGTTTGGATTCATAAACAAAAAAAAAAAAAAAAAAAAAAAGGAGATGGATTGCTTCTGTCAGTTAAATAGTCAGTTAAATAATGAACCTTACTCAGATTACTTTATTCCCCATAATTTGACATTGTATGTGCACAACATCTGTACACAGGTGGCTTAATCTCAGTTGTGATGGAACTTGGAAGTCTAGCTGTCTTGTTGAGTTGTTCTATATAGGTTCAAAATTGCCTAATCATACATTGCTCCTGTTGTAATACTATTCCAAAATCAAGTGATAGAAAATAAGATGATGATGTTGTTACTTCCCTGCCTGAATTTACTAATATTGATGAAAGCGTAATTACTGTTTGCCTCAACAGTAGCAGAGAACACCTACACAATCTTCTTTTCTTGTCTTAATCTAGATCACCAAGAAGGCAGCACTGCTTTCTAGATCAGGGGAGCATAAAGAAAACCGAGTAGGAATGTTTAGACTGAAGGAAGAACAGAGGAAGTGAAGGCAGATGTAGAGGTATTTTGTTGTCTTAAAACCAATATGGGGAATAACATCACTTGCATGCTATATGAAACAGATGGAAAATACTGAAGAAGCAAACTCAATTGGTCTCTCATCTCTGAATTTAGAGACTTTATGAAATGCACACAGAAACACAGTGGAGAATTTAAAAGTTCAGGAATACCAGAAAGTGGCAAAAAATAACACTGAGCTTAACGTATCACCTAATATGATGTGTGGTTATGGACCTTTGCTGCTCCTAATAAATTGTGTCTGTGTGTATTTTGACGTGTGTAACGCTGTGCCAAAGAGCTGGCTGAAGAGCATGTCCACTCCTAAATTGTGGAACTTGTTTCTTATTTTTTTTCTTCAATAAAAACATGTGCTCAGAGTTAAATTAGCTAGCCCATACCTCTTGCACTTTCTAAATAAAAATCTCAGCATCAAGCTTCAGCTTGATGGTTAGCACATACCTGGACAGACTTTAAGGTCTATTACATCACTACCTTCTTACAACTTTTTACTGTCCTGTTCACTGGCTCTTCGGTCATATTAATGCAGTAGAGGTGCCTAAGAGTGCGTGTATGTATTCAGTGCAGTTTACTGTTTTAAGAGATGAAGTCATGTAGTGCTCCAGGTGACCAGTCGTGCTTTAGCACTTCAGTAATGGTGTACGCACAATGCTTAAACCCTTTGCTGAAACAAAGTTAGACCCGGCCACAGAAGAGCTATTACATGGTTTTCAGAGCAGGAGGGGAGAAAAGCGCACACACACAGAGATACTTTTATTACTCTGTTTCACCTTCATGCCAGTCCCATCTTCTCTGTTTAGTCCTTTCTTCCATGTCAAAGTTTCTGTAACTCGGTACTGACCCAGGTCTTGCTCTCAGCTGCTGGTTCGGGATATTCACCAACCTCTTCCATACCGGAACACACACCGGGAGGTGTGTGAAGATGTACAGATCTCATGTAGACCATCTCCCAGCATCGTGAGTGATCCCTGCATTTTACCCAGTCTGCTAGTACTCTTCCTCCAGGCTGTAAGCTCCATGAGTAAGAACTCTGCCTTGTGGAATTGTACTCATGGTAAATGTTGCAGGAGGGAGGTATTTTAAATAATTCTGGAGTGGACCTAAACAGAACTTTGTCTGGCTAATGTTGAGCACGAAGTGGAATGAAACTGGTTTTAAGGGTGAGCCTACTTCAGAGTCTGCCTAAATTAAAGCTCCTTTCATGTAGGAAGCCAGGTCCAAAAAGAGAAAACAATTTGAAGGTAGCTGTAAATGAGAAACAGGAAAAACACTAGCCTGCTAATAAGTTCAATGGTCTGTGGCTTTGTCCACAGATGTTCCTTAGCTGTACTGCAGTCGGGTAGGTGCTAGTGCATCTTAAGGGAAGCATGGAGAAGTGAAATGGGAAATGGTGTGAAAAGCAGTGCTTTAAAACTTAAAAAAAAATCTTTAGAATTTTATCAAATTATTTTCCCCCAAAATTAACTATCCACCTGATGCTCTTCTCTGTAAAGCTTGACACAATTCACTGCCCTAGATCTGACTGGTGCCCTTAGAACAAAAATTCAACTTGCAATTGAGTATGTATTTAAACAACTATAAAAATGAGTGGATGCATTAAAAATTAGCAGAGGCTAGATGGCTTCTTTTTATTACTTCAGGTAGGGGGAACTGAAACTATGTAGGTCTAACTTAAAGTAGTTCTACTAGAAAAGAAGCAAAATTTTGCAAATATAGCAAAGCTTGAGGACATAGAGAGTTGCTTCATTGACACTTGTATGTAAGTGTACTTCAAAGCCAAGTACAGGTTGCATAGGCTAGTATTAGGCTGAAGCTTTGTAGTAAGATGTTAGTTTGGAACTCCGTGAAGGCTTTAATCATATTTGCTCCATTTATGAAATGAGAACTGCATTTTTTTTTTCCAGCTGTTGTCTTTGTTCCCAGAGCAGCTTTTCTCTAATTCTACCACTAGTGACCATTTCCAGGCACATGACACCACTTTGCCTGCACAGTTTCCTTCTTGAATTATGCAAGGAAAGAATTCAGACTTGACAGTAGCATTTGCCAGCTCTGTTTTCCTTTGGGGTTGAATACTGACTGCAGCAACTAGTTGCATAAGTAAGTGAACTAACAGTAAGTATGTCTTTAATAGAGTCACTAAAGAACTGTTCAACACTTGACTAGTCTTAAGTACTGCTTATTAATAGTAAATTAATTTTAAATAAGGTACAACATCATCTTAGACCATAAAAAATACAAAAAAAATGCAGCTAGTATCTGGAAACAATATAAAAATAATATATTAAAAATGCAGGCTAGCAGGAAGTCATGTAGGCCATATGTATTTTAAAAGATGTTCCTAAATGGATAAAATCAAGGATAGTTCTTCCAGGTTCTGTGAGGCAACTGTGACTTACAGCCACTGCAATTTAGTCACCTATTTTCTATTTAAATTTACCTTCCCCCCCCCACTTTGGTAAGACACTATGCATAAGATTTTAAACACAAAATGAAAGTTCTCAGTAACAGAACCCACTGTGCTCCCTCATGAGCTGGCAATCATCTCCACTTGAAGAACACAGGCTTGTCCTGAAGCCTGATGCTGCCCAATGCAGTAGGCTAAGGTGAGAACGACCCACAGAACTGAGCAGTCTGTTCAGGCTGGAGTTATTAGGACAGCACTCACATTTTTGCCAGAGGTATGTGATTCTCCAAATTGCATTAGAAAACAGGATGCCTGTTTTTCTTTTAATGTATGCTCCCTGGTACAGGCTTGGAACTGCCTGTCCCAGACTACATGAAAGCAATATAAACACACCTTATCAGCAGGATCCCCCCAAGTCACTTCTCCCCTTTTATCTAAGCAATTCAGGAGTTTTTATTTTAAAAAAAAAAAAAAAAAAAAAAGTAATGGTAAATGCAAACATGTCACCTTCATAAAAAAAATTAGTAGCTTGCCTCTTTCTGTTGGAGCCATCACTATTCTGGGTCCCATAAATCCTTACATGGTACAAAATGCCAGAGCAAGGGGAAGAGTTTTATATGAGGCAGGTTTATCTAAGGTCCCTTTTCCAGTCAAAACCTTTAATGATGGTACAAGACAAAACTTTGTAAATCCACTTGAGACCTAGCCACAAAAATATATAGGTGTCATCTTTGTTGAAAGCTGTAATTGTATTCACTGGAGTAAGAAACAGAATTAAAGAAAAGTCAGTGACAGTCTGGACAATGGAGTAAATAAAGTTGCTCTTAATATTACACACTGAAAATTGGTCTCCCATGTTCTAAGCTTATGGAAAAGATTCTTCATTACCTCCTTAGTGCCTGTTGGTTTTCACTTTCAGAAGAGCAGAATTTGTCCCATGATGGGAGAAGTGCTGATTAACAAAAGTCACGGTGAGGGATTCAACTTCTATGTAATCCTCAGTTTGACTTCAATACCTCATTTCCAGCTTTCACTGACCAGGAAGCGCAGTCAGCTACTGTGCATGTCTCCAAGCTTTTCACAGCTTGACTATTTCAAGTTGCCTTCAACAAACCACGTGCTAGAAGCTTGCACATGGTGGGAGGGTGTCGCAACTCTATCTACTTCAACCACAAAGCATGCTCAAACTCAGTTGGATTCAGTCTTTTTTAATAAATTAATGTCATTTAAAATACAGTGCCAGAACATGATGCAGCTGAACATGCTAGTAAGGTTTGTCATGAAGCACCTGTGTTCATGTTAGATTGGCGGCACCCCGCTACTGCTAGTGGTTCCTGGGATTAATGCCAGAGCAGCACTAGTCATCTGCTCTCCTGCACACACAGCACAGGATATTCCTGAACAGTTTGCCCCCGCCCCCCCAAAGTAAAAAAACCTGATAGCTAAGGGATATCTATACACAATCACACTACAGTAATGCTTGTTATTAAATTAACAGAAAATAAAGACCTGGTTAATCCACACTAAACTTTGTTTTACAATGGAAAAATACATCAGCAGCAGGAAGTAATATACATGAGCCAATGTTACTGTAATACAGAACGTGGAGACATTTACTGATTAAAGCTCCACATAGACCCGCACTATGAGGGCTGACAATTCCTATTGCAAGCCCAGCAACTTAAGTCCACACCTGGTAAACTACCAGCTGCTTGGAAGACCTGTATTCTAAATAGACAGGTATAAGTTAGTGAAAATAGAATACATGCACCTAATAATACAGCTTGACTGAACCTGCAGTCATTTCGCCCTGCGTGTTACCATACAATGGAAGATCTACCCTTCCTACCACAGGTAGATCCATGGGATTTGTTTTTCTTTTCCTTTTAATGGCATTACTATACCAACATGGATGTTAGTATTAAGTAAGTGCAGCACAGTCCTTTAATTAGGCCGCACTGACAATTATAGAACTAGAACTTACGTAGAATATCCAGAAGTAGTTCAAATATAACTGGAAGATACTTTCAAGAGAGTTGTGACATCATCCTAGAAACAGTAACTACTTTTTTTCTGAAGCTAATTTTCCTGAACCAAGACTCCATAGAACTAGAAGTTAATTCTTTAGACAAGTCAGATGCTTAAGCTCATGATATACATATATGTTTCTCAATTATCAGATAATAGTATTTCAGATTATGGAAGCATATCTGCTCATTTCACTGGTTCATACTGAATGGCGGCAAGTGTTAAGTAGGGCATAAGAATACAACTCATGAAAGACAGGTTTTGATATTTCCATTTCCACACCTGTTCTTTCACAACCATTTATTTCAAAATAACTGAGCACAGAATCAGCTGTGCAGTCTAATTTGGGAGCTATACAGGTGGTAAAGTAACCATCTCCCCATCCAGCTCAAATTCATCAGCTCCATCGGGGGAGAAGAGGTACGTTGGAGGTTTCCACGGGGACTCTTCAAGGCAAGACGGATACAGCTTCCCTACGGTGCACCGGAAGTCTTTCCCCAAGTCCCACAGCACGCGTTCTGATATATGCTGTCTTAGAAACCAGCGATCGAGTTCCAGGTCATATTGATAGGTGGCATACTTGGCTCTCTCATTCATGTGGGTTTCTCGTATAAAGACACATAAAGAATTGGAGATGACGACAGCTCTAACACATGGGTCAGAATACCGCTTGGCAGGGATGTTGGCTGCCATTCTCCATTCATTTTTATTCACATCATAGATTTCCACAGTTACGGAAGACCCATCTACAGTACTGCTTGGGAGTCTTATACCAGAATTGCTGGCAATATGCAGTCCTCCGATATAGAATATTTTATCACCAAAAGCAGCAGCTGAAGCAAAACATCTACTGGTTTGTCGCATAGCCATTTCTACCCAAGCATCTGACCTGGGAAAGTAACAGTACATCAAGTTGTGTGCCATTACGTAAATGCAGTTGTGAACTGCTACCGCTGTGCTCCATTGCCACGCGCAAGGCAGTGGGCTTACCATGGTCCACTCATCTTTCTCAGTATCGTATCTCTCCACAGTTCTCCTGTTGAGTTCTCCCCCAACGCTATCGCCTCCAATTGCATAGATGTATCCTTCACAGCAGACCAGGGATGGCTTTATACGAACAAAGAGCATCGGTGTCTTTGGAAACCACGTGTTTTGCTGCGCATCAAACCAGTAAAAGCAATTCACAGTTCTGAAGGCAGCCTGGAGTTTGCTGCTTTTACTGTGATTGGTTTTCGTGTTTTTCAGAGGAACTTGCCCACCTGCTATATAGATGTCATTATCAGGAGTTACAAGCGTCCCAACCTTATGCAAGTCCGCAGGAGGGTTGCAGAGTTTGTAAACTTTTTCTGCCTGGGGGCTATAGCAGACAGACGAATAAAGACTACCAGGGTTTTCAGCAGCAGCTTCAATGAATATCATCATCTCCTCTTTTGTCATACCAAGTCGGGGCTTGAAAAACTTGGGCATCGATTTGTACAGTCCTTGCACCACCACTGATTTATCATTAGGTGGTAAACCTTGAAACCAGGCTCTCTGCGTTACTTCTGAAAGTGCATCGATTCGGATTTGGCTAAGAACAGAGGACAAATACTGCGATCGTGATTCTGTGTTGTACTCCAGCCACAACATAGCAGCTTCCCGAACTGTCTCCTCCTTTTCTACATTTAAATTGTCACTGCTTAAAATATCTATCAGTAGATCATGTGACAATTGCATGAAAGCCTCCTGGTGGTACACAGCTGTGAACTTGTGCTCTACCATTCTTTTAGCACTCTGTTTTAACTCTTCACAGCTGAAGAGATCAGCAAAACTTAATAGACGCACACAATTTTCTGCATTGATTTTTTTGATTAAGTATTCTCTACACCGTTGTAGCACATCATCTACCTGTAATGCAAAGAAGAAACACACTAAGTATTACTGCATACAATCCATTCCTTCACGTATCAGCAGCAGGTGAAAGTACCTGTGTTTAGTGTTGAACACCAGAGTTTAGGCCTGGAATACTATACATACACAAAAATACGGCAGTGACTTACTCAGCTGATTCACACAGATCAAGTACGTCACATGATTACGTCTGCTTGCGAAACCAATTATCTAAATATTACAAAAGTGCACTGTTTTACTTCCAGCCTCCATAGGGTCCATAAAGCAAGGAGGGATGGGTACATGAACTGAGAAAACCGAGCAAGAGTATTTTGAAATGACTAAACAGAAAAGACTATTTAACAAGATGAAGAAAAAAATGCTTCAGAGAGTAGAAGCAGTTATTTCATACTCAAAATAAAACATTCCTACCTGTAAGAAGCAGGCAGTTTCGTAAAGCTGTTCCACCGTGCTGTCGCTTATTGCCAAGTTACCCGTGTATGCGTAAGTTATGATAATTTGTAAAGTGGCTGCATCCACATTCCTCAGGTGTACATGTGTTTGTTTACTTTCACTTAGCCCACTCATGAACATGGCTCTGAAGAGAAATATACATATTAAGACAAAGACCAACAGTAAGTACAGTGATCTTAAAGTCACTTATCACCTCTAAGCCTTCCGTGATTACACTCCAGAAGGTGAACAGCCTTTTGGTTGCCTGTTTACAGGTGTTTAATATTTACCTCAGGCTACCATGAAGTATTTAAGATAAAGCACTTGTACAGAACACTCAAAAAGTACTATCAGCACCTTCTGTAGACATGTTTTATATTTATGCAAACTCTTTTGTCTTAATCAGCAGAGAACTCTAATTATTTTAGCATTTTAATGATGACATTTAAAACCTTTTCTATGTCAGGTGATGACAAGAGGGAAGAAACACCCTCTGGAAAATACTGTTGAAACATACACAGATAGATTTTAGATTCTAAAACAAAAGCAGCAGATTTATGCAATGGACTGAGCTAAGTCGTACCAAAAAGCACGCTTCTCTGGGAGGAGGAGGAAGTTAGCTCCGAAAAAGGAGCAAGCACTAGCACTCCATGAAGTATTTCTTATATACACCATTCATCATAATATGCAGCAAACTTCAAGTTTGTGGACAAAAAATCAGTGACAGAAAAAGCTGTCAGACATGGTTTGAAAAACAGTTTTAAAAACTCTAAGAATTTCCATTACATCTTCCTGAAAAAGTAGAAAGGCAATTTAATGGGGAACATTGATTTCAAGAGCTTTATATTAATTCACGTTTCGGATTTATGGTTGTATTGAAAATTCAGCTCAAGGCTCTTTATATTTGTGGCTTTTCAGGAAACCAGATACGAGACAAGTTAGAAGGGACGGTGGGTGCACCCTGCAGCCCTGCCTCCAGCTGGAGAGGTGAAGGGGACATGCAGATGCACTCCCTATGCAAAGCCATGCCAAGAAGCAACCAATACAAAGACGGTGCCCCACCACCGTTCTATTCTCTCCAACTTCTTCCAAGCTCCTTAACTCAGGGCAACTTCCATTTTAGGAGGGATCACTGACTGGCCAAGTGAGTATCAGCTTGCCATGCAGCTTTTTAGAGGTAAGCAAGACAGTACGAGTGCCAGCAGACTCCCCTTCATAGAGGGGAAGAGGTAGTGTTAGAGAATCTGTCTCTAGTGCACGCTTACACGCTGCTGAGCGGCCTGTGCTGGAGCTGGGCTCCTGCAGCACAGCATTTGAGCACAAAGATGGAAGGTAAGCTGGCTGCGGTCCTACGCAACGGCTGGGTCACGCTAAGAGATGCTTTTCTGTTCTTCCCCCTCTCCCCACAGCCTCCTTCAGGGCTATCAATTTTTCATAATAAAGCTAAATTTAGGAAGCTGAGCATCTTCTTGTAAAGCAAAGCAGAAAAGAAAAACAGAACATGACAAAACCACAAGCTCGATACTTCTTTTAACCAGTGCCAAAACCTCATTCCATAAATAATAAACAAACACATATGAATAAGATCTGACTGCACATTCTAATGCAGCACACTTGTGTGGACTCGTGACTGCTTTCCAACCTTATGATTAGCCACCCACATGAAATCTGGCCACATTTCCAGTGGCTGTTATTTTATAGACTGTTGGAACTATGTCATCTGCAGAAGGCCAACAGCAATTATCTAATGATCACACAATACTTGTTGCTAAAAATCGTACCAGACTCATCTGAGATGAAAAAATAACACAAAAACCAGAAGCAACAAAAACTTATGTGAAAGTAATAAATTAATCCTCAACTAATTCCCTGCATTAGAAGTTATTCTCTATATTCTATACAAGAAAGCAGACAAAACACATTTTAGAAGTGTTCTGTTAGTCAGCCCATCTCAACAAGAAAACAGAATTTGCAAACCTTCCCTTGATTAAACAGGAAAAAAAAGTTATAGTCCCTCCACAATGCATCAGGAAGGTAGAACACGCATGGATGTCACCAAGACTAGTTCAAAGCTTCAAAATTCCTTCCAGACAGGCAGATTAATTGATGCCAACAAAAAATGATTGATCACTGCAGAAAATTCATGGTGCCTCATTTTCGAAGACTTACTATGAAGGTATCTGCAAAAAGTAGTGGCACTCGTCACATCTTACTAATAAAAACTTTTCAAAAGACAAAAAACAGGACACCTGGGAAGCAGGAACTACTCATTTAAAAATTGCTACAGCATGTTGGGGGGGGGCGGACTCAAAACAAAAACAAACCACCCACACACAAAAAAACCTGTTGCCTTGCAGCAAGACTCTCAGGCAAGAGAAGAGTTTCTGGCTTCTTTGCTGAGCAGAGAAAACCAAACGATTCAGAAAACAGCCGTGAACTTGCGCAGCAATCCCTACTTTTAGCAGAGGCTTCTGCTAAGAAACAACAGCTAATAAACATGACAATGGAACTCCCACAGCCTGTCTCAATAATCCCATTACCCTATCTTGGCAAATAAAAAACATTAAATATTTAAAGATTAAGTATGAAGAATAAGAAAATTCCTAATTATTCAGACTCAATTAACTCCCTAAAGAAAATAAACCATCACAAGTGTGATTTCACACACACACTTATTGTAAAAACTACAGTATTTATCCAGAGTAAGTCACAAGATGCTAGAAAATCTACTCTTTTGGTGTTGACAAGTAATGATACATTTAGGCTTTTTACTTATTTCACTGATCTTTAAAACTCTCTGCAGCACATTAATTGTTAAACAATTAAGTAATACTACACTCAAGACCAGGTATCACAGATTTTCTAGAATTAACAGATCCTGCTTTGAATACTTACCTGAAATACGAGCTGCATGTTGCAAGAACCATCTTATGGCAGGGAAATTCAGTGCCCTCAACAATCAACACTATGTCAGTTAGCAACTGCTGTTCATAAAAGAATTTTAACTGCTCCAGCAAGGATACAGCATACTCAGTATTTATCTGCCTCTCGTCCTGGGTAGACATGACTGTATTCCATTAATATTTCCAGGACCAGAGAGAAAAGTCAAGATCTTTTCACCAGAGAAAGGTCAGTTGAATGTTTCTGAAGTAACCAGGGAAGAAATGGCAGGAAGTCTGTAGCCTTCAGAAGTGATACTGATAAAAAAAGGCAGTGTTATCTTCGACTGCTGAATCAATGTTTCAGACTTTGACCTACTATTAGGTCATCATGCTTTGACTTGATGTCACAATCAGTTCAGAGACTTTCAAGAGTGTCTGCAGAGCTCCTGTTGAGATCTATGACGCAGCAAATGAATGAGCAAACGCGAAGTCTGAGGTAGATTTCGTGGTAACATCTCGTGATCAGTGGCTGCACTTGAGTGACTGAAAGCAGGAAAATAAATTTGCACATTAGCACTTTTTCAAAAACCTTTCAGAGTTACCCCTTAAAAGTAATTGTCTAACAAACGTGTTTCTAAATTAGTACTTAATTACTTGCACAAAAACTCTTGTTGAGAAAAAAATTAAACCAACAAAAGTATCGAAGAGAAACAAAGAGAAATTAAAAGCAGAAGAGTTTGTACGTTAATTCTCATCAAGACCTAGACTCATGAATGAATATAATCTGTTTTGTCAACACAGATAATAAGGCTGGAGAGTTAAAACGAGGTTCAGTAAGACTTTATTCCTCTTCCAAGAATTACCCAGTTTTCCCACTGAGTATACCTGTGCGTTTGCTTCAACCATAAGACAGACACATTTTTTTCATTTCCATATTAAACAGCTACTTTTTCCACTTCTGTGTTTTTGTCTACTTAAAGCTTATCAAATACCAAGCCACTAAAAATACAAATGCAATTTCTTCAACATTCCCATCATTTTCCAACTAAACTGTCAACATCATCATCAACCCATTTATTTCACCTTTGGCATTCTACCAGAGAACAAGCAGAACCGGTGCTAAGGATTAAGAAACCTAACAACCTATATTCCCAATTCCTTATTTGATTCCTCTTCTCTGTGCAGAAGGGCTTCCACCTATTAACATTTCACATTCACATTTTTTTCCTTCTGAGTCATTTCCATACAGCCAGGTAAGCATGACTGCTGCAGACAGGAGAAAAGAAAAATCCGGAGGTAAGAGGAGCAAAGGGATGCTGGAATAGCAGGGGTCAAAACACTTGGAGTGGTTATAAAGCAATGGCCTCAGGCTACCAAAGTCTGTTTTCTTGTTTGGACATTTCTCCTCCTCTTAAAAATGGGGTCAGGTTTTATCTTATCTTCCATGTGAACACAGAAACATAGTTAAGAATGGGATAGTTGTCACAGTTAAGATCACCATCATAAAGGACACCAGAGTACCACATCTATCAAATACTTCCAGATTTATTTATTCTTGCACTGTTCGTTCACATTCCAAAATTGAGGAATAACCAGGGACATGTTTGTCTAATGTCTAAGACATCGCTATCATTATAGTTGATGAACGGAGAATGCAGATATACCTTACTTGAAACAACATACTTCAAATTCCATATAAAAATACACGATTTAGTGTAAGTTGAAGGCTGTAGAAATACCTGCCAGCCATATCAAAGATCTGCTATTTCAACAGAGCCCTGCCTGTAATACAATTCAGAGACAGCCATCTTTTAACATCCACTCACTTGAAACAGATATGCTTAATTAATGCCGCTTTAATTAGTACTAATTTAGTGTCACTGATTTTTTTCAGTCAAGAAATATACACAAACAGGAATTTCAAACTCTTAAGTTTTCACTGGTTGGTTGACTGGAAAAATAGTCAAACCCAATGTTCACTGTTCAGGTGAAGCCAGTTAATTAAGAAAAACAGAAAAGATGTTAATATTTGGGGGAGGAAGAAGGAGAGGCTACTATCTGCTATAATAACAGATATTGGCATATGTCTTGACTTCAGACCTTCAAGTTACAGGTGCAGGTAACCGCTGAAGTCACTTAAACCACAGGTATATCAGGGATAGACAAAGATACTGCTCACCTAAAGCAATGACCTTCTGCTTCAAGTCACAGCTTCTTTTCACCAAATTAGTATGCATCCCATCTCTGCATCACCGACCACTATCCTGGTTATCTGATAACAGCTTAGCATGCAACCTAATCCACTGACAGATTTTGCACTGAACTTTAAATGGCTACAGAGACACGCAGACTTCCTAAGTGTGTTAGGCCCACAGAAATAAATAGCTCGTGGCTCTACTGGTATCCCGGGTCTCTCTACAGCATTGTTTTTCCTGGCTTAGGAGTAAAGTTTCAAGAACAATACAAGCTGGTGGATTAAGCTCTGTTTGGGCAGAGCATCAGTAGTACTAAGCTGTAGCAAAAGAAGTCACTGATATCCTAACTTCTTATTCTGATACAATTTTAAAGACTATAAATCTTCAGAAACAGGGAAAGAAAGAGCAAAACTAATATGCACTGTTTTAGTCATTAGGTAACAGAACCAGTCAAGGATGCCATGGAGAAATTGATATACACCTGCTAGTAAGATTAAAGACATTTTTGGCAGCACGCGGCTGACAGTCGATAACTGAAAAAGCAGACCTGTCCAACAGAAGAGGAGTTGAAACTGTGAAATTAATTACTATAAATAGCTGGAACATTTGAGTATGACCCTCAGTAGCAGAAGAGACTGAGGAGATGACAGGAGTCTTGTTGCAGAACATTTATGTGATGTGAACCACCTCTGAACTGTAAATTTACAAAGCTGGAGTCCTTGGTTTACAGCAGATCTAAAACCATCTCGTTTCCGTGATGTGCTCCAGGGAGGCGCACATGGTAGGAACACGCATGTACACAACTCCCGTTTTCCACATCCAAACTGTGTTTTGCTGCCGGCTATAACCATTTGCTAAATTGCAAAATTTTGCATTTGTCACGAAGTCAGGAGTCGCATCCCATTGCCTTGTAATGGAACCATACTAAATACTCCTCAGGAGAACAATAAATACATGAAGGCTCTCTGAATTTCTGGTCTAAAATTACCATCATTTATCTTGTCATTTGCCCAAGAGAAGTGAATCTGTTCAAAACATTAGGGTAAGTGCTGGAGGAACATAATTTTGTGCCTGGAAAGTCATCCAAGCCTACCTACCTCTCTCACACCTCTCTGAAGAGTTCAAGACAATTTTAAAGGAGATACTCTCCTCACTTTAGAGGCTGAAAAACTGAGGCACCAAAACAAGAATCAGTTTGTCAAAAGCCACATACTTGCCAAAGGAGAACTGTAAGAGGCTCAGTCCTCCCCACTCCCAACCTAACATCTCTCTCACTGCGCTGTGCTTGCTTGGCATACAGCTCTTAGATCTCCGCTAACTGAAAAACTATGAACTCAAAAAGATGTCTACGGATGCACTACAGTCTCCTGGAGTTCTCACAACTACACAGCAGTGAACATTTCTGATTTATGGATGAAAGGATCTACAGCTGAAGTTAGCCTGAACTGAAACTGGTAGAATAAAAATAATCCTTGAATACAAGTTCTACGAATAAGACTTTCCCCTTCAACGATGTCACTGGAACGACCATTTTGTTCTGGGTAACTTCTTGGAAGTCAGCTATCTAAAACAGGACTGGTAGGTAGCTGCTGGAAGGCCACAGCGGTACTGGATTGCAAACTACAACAAATTATTACTGGGTGATACAAAGTAACTCCCTATCAAGCTGGAGAGCAACATTACCTAACAGGTTGATAAGAGGGTTTGTTTTTAAGTAATTATTCCTCTTAGCTTAAGTAATTTTAATGAGGTGGCTTTTAACACTTGTTCATGCACTTCAAGTCTGAATGAGACCATTCCAAAAATTAGTCATCAAATGTTAATGAGTTATGGGACAGGCTATTAATTGCCTTCCTTGAATCTGTTTATCTTCTGAGGTCAGGCAAAGACTGGTAAACAGATACATACTGCACTACACACACAGAAGTGTTCACTCTATACTTCAATGTATAACATGGAATAAGTACATTGACTATGTCCAATTTAATTAGTGGGGAAAGGTATAAGATATATAGATACAATATTCTTCAACTGGACTAATTCAAAACAAAATCTGCTTTATTTTTTCCAAATTATAAGAAGGGCAAAGCAGATATCTAGACATGCACTTGGGGTTTGGTTTTCTTTTTTAAGATACTTTGATACTAGGAAAAGAAATAAGTTCTTCTTAAAATCCCATTAAGAAGTCTGCCAGATCAGATGCCTAACTTCCACTAAAATTCTGGGAAACACTTAAAAATCTATGAAGGTCTCACAGGTTCCTATCTGTCCCTTCAGCCATCGAAATATCTCTTGAATTCTAACTTCACTAACGACAATTCACACTTCAATAAGCCTGCATGTTTGGAAGAAAAAGAAGAAAACAACAGACATTCAACTAATTTAATCTAGTTTTAACTAATAAAAAAGCTTTAAATACTACTTTTGTGCACTTTTAATCAAATTCCTATTTCCATCCAAGGGCAGCTTCATACAAATCACAAGTGAAAACACGTCTAAACAAGTGAGTCATTCACTATTTTTAACATAATAAAACGTCAGAATTAAGAACTGAACAACCGTAAGCCAAACTACACAAGCATTCACGTGCGTTGAGAGAGCAATCCTCCCAGGTAGCAATGAAAGTACAAAGCTCAGGCACTTCAATACTTAGTTACTATTAAGGATATGCTGAATTACAAATCAACATTTTTCAAAATGATTATACCAACTAACAGCAAGGGGGAATACAAGTACTAAAAATGATTAAAATCAATTATGTAAATCAATATACCTAGCCAACAGATCTCAAAGATAGGAAAGAAGGAAGAAAAAGGAGTTGGAAGCTGTAGATTCTTGAGTAATATATCAAATCTGCATCCTTGGCAGCAAAAAAGAAATAGGTAATTGATGAAGCAGTTCCAGACTTGGAAGTTTTCCTCTCTTCTAAAGCTATCAAAGGTGTCTTTGATAGCACTGCAGTCCAGAAACCCGAGGACATCAAGGAGA